GCAAATGGTAAGTCATTTACTATTCAACCAATGGATTATAAGTTCTTCCTGGCTATCTTATCAGCACCACAAAACGTTCCACAAGTGATCAGTGTTAAGCAATGACTCAGATCTGTTTGCTTCCCGTATGTTTGAAGTTGTAATTTTATGCAGAAAGGCAGTAAAAAAATCCATATGCATCTAAAACGTCGCAAAGCTACCAAAAAGCACTTAAAAACGTTTTCGAAGAGTTAACACTGAAAAATCACATTGTTGGGAAAATTTCCAGGTCTACTATATAGACTATTATATTGTTACACAGTGTTTAACAGTGTTCAAGACCAAAAACTCATTGGCTTGAATTATGTTTATGGATATTTAATTCTTCCACTAGGTCATTTACTCATTTATTTACCAATCACGAATAAATATTTTGAAATAGGTTTCCACGCATTTATTTAGGAAACAGGTCGCCCGGGAACTAATAACTTAAATGGCAGTTAAAATAGTAAGATTTATAATAAAAGAAATGTACTTATATTACCGATTTGGATAAATGATTTTCTCACGTTTAAGAGTTAGGTGATGATTCACTATAGTTGGTTTCTGCGTGGTTGGAAAATCCGAGTTTCTTACCAATCCTCATATTGTTCAGCTTTCCGGATCACATGTCTCCTGTCATTTCATTTGCTACAAAACACGTTGAATCCTTTTGGAAGTTTACGCTTGTCCAGAAATAATCTGAATAATATTAATAAGACTGGTGGTTCGCTTACTATCGTGTTCTAGGAATATTGATATGGAATCACCTTCAACCTACAGAAAATTTATTTCGCAAGATAAAATGTTATTACTTAAGTTCTTTTTGTGTGTTATTCTGGTATAGATTTGTCTCATACTGAATTTCCGAACAGATGGATACGTCTTATTGTAGTTATTGAACTAGCTTGTATGAAGAAAATGCTTCCAAAATGGTTTTTAATCAAATTTTTAACATGAAAGCTGTGCGCGTCAGCTGACAAGAATCTGAATGATTTAGCCACTGAATTGTTTTTAATTTGTGAAGGATGCTTGTGATAATCCTCCATCAAAGGATTATACACATTTGTATCCAGGTGGACTGCTTATAAAATCAAACTATCACGTGACTGAAAAACATCTTTCTTGCTTATATTGTTGCTTGCATGCTTGTATGACGATCTTATTGTATCAATTTTGTTAAGTATATTCGTTTGTGACACAATTTCTAAACACTTCTCTTGTTCTGATCAGTTCCATTCAAATTCTATTTGCGTCAGACTGGGTAACGGCAAACTAATTCCATTTCAGAAACAGTTCAGTTTAACTAAAATCCTTTTCTAATTATACCCATCCTAATTCTATCACGCTGTTTCTTGCTTGGTAATCACAATATATTTTCTATACTCTACTTCAATTCGTGTTTTTCTTGTGTTCATTCGTTCACAATTAGTGTTGAAATACTAATACAACTGTCATTTTTGATTTCTTACAACGTTTACAACAATATTCACTTTTTAATGTTGTCAGTGCGTGATAATAAGATTATTGAGAAAGAAGCTAGTTTCATTTCGATGATTTTATTTACCAAAGCTATACGATCCTACCCATAGCTAATAATAATAATAAGAAGATGAAGAAGAAAACATTGATAAATAAAGTACAACATGTAAAATGGGGAGGGATGTATTATTATTAATTTTAGTTTTCAAGATCGAAATATGATGATAGCTTGAATATATCGTTGCTGAACTCATAGATAAGCTTTTTAACGATGAACTGTCAACTCTCTGGCTGTGCAAAGATCTCTGAACTGTACGTTTTCAGTCAGTTTATCCAGACCGATCGATGATTTGGAAAGCTAATTCTGGAGGGATTATTTGACCGGGGTTGACTAATTATTAGCAAATAAAACTGTTAATCGTTTTATATTCATCTTTAAATAACGATGCTGAGTAATGCTTGTGAAATTCACTTGGAGACAGTATGCTTTGTGCAATATAATCTGGTCCAGAAGAACAAGTAAACTGATTATTAATCTAATTGAGTCAAAGATGGAATTTATCCTTAACGTATTCTTAAATTATTCGTTCACTGGCAAAAACAAGCCGAAGTATAAGTGACTAAGAAGCTTTTCTTAGCGATCTTGTTAATCGACACAAAAATTTCCTCCGCTATATGGGCTTTGGATTCAACGTTCATAAACAAAGTATTCCGAGTATTTTAGATGTTATTTCCGTTTGTTGTTTGGGTATTATTTTTCTTTGAATGAACATGAAAGAAGTTATTCTCATTGGGTATCCGCTGGATGATATGCAGTTTTTTATCGATAGATTTCTTGGTACAGTTTCTTCTGGTAGTCGGGTATAGAGATTGAATTAACCCTCTCTTCTGATTCAAAGGAAACCGACTTTGTTCGTTATATGTTGGTTTTAGACACACTGAATCCCATTGTGAGCCGTCCAGAAATTGCTTTACTGAAATATGAAGAAGATAAAATACTAAATCCCCCTCCCATCCCAATGTGAAAGTAATTACCTTGTGGGAATTATTGAATCCATGTAGGGTATGGCCTAGGATAAAATGACAATTTCTTATTCTTTCTCTCCCCTTGATTATTTTCAAATGAACTTTTATCTGTTTGACCTTTATTATTTTTCATATAAACAGGTCTCTTACACATTAATACAAATACCTATTTATAAAAAATCCTTCACGTTGATTGAATGACTTATTCAGTATACAGTAAACCGAAGAACCATGTACCTATTTATATTCGATAATTTTGTTGTTTGATTATATTTTCCTTAAAAAAGCTTGGACCAGATTGCCAGGCGAAAGGTGGGATTTACTTAAAATTCATTCGCTGAGATTTTACAAATATATTCTTTTTAATGTCTCAAATTAACTCGGCGCCCAAATATTGTGAAACTATTCGTTCAAATTTAGACGAAAGTTCTTATTTACTATGTAGGGTATGTTTACGTCGCAGATGATAAAGGCATCCTCCATGTATTTATTTGTATAAGTAGAATATGTCGGTCGCTGATCGAATAACAGGTTTTGCTTGGGTTGAGTATATAACAGTCTAATGATACTACTGCAAGTCTTTCCATTATATATTTGAGAAATACAAAACTATTGATTGTTTATGTATGTGCGCCTTTAAAACATGTCATTAGTTTTAGAAGAATATTAGATAAATATTTTACGGCGGAATACACGATGTCATCTTAATTACTGAAATCGATTGGGGTACTACCAAATGTATCTTAAAATTAAGTGTTTTAAATTACATTACAAGTGTGTACAACAAAATTAATATGTTAGATGTAAAAGATTGTTAGCCAATACGAATCACAGCCAGTTTATATTAGATAGAAATTGTAGTTAGTACGAGCCTTAGCTGATAACATTTTATTAAGTAATATAAATTTTTCACCATTGCCGATAATTCTTCCGTGTTGTCGATGAAATAAAAATGATCTAGGCACCTTGGGCTTTTCCAGGTGGATTTTCTAACTATATATTGATATTTGTATATTTTTACGAAGGAATAAAGTAAAAGTACGTTAGCTTGTGATCTGCGGAAAATGTTTTCTATTTTGTTTGGTTTTGGATTGTTTTCTCAATCAACGTTTGGCCCATGAATATGTTTACAGCAAACGGTTGCTCTAGGCTACCTCATTGCTTGTCTTTTAGCTTGATCTCCCAAACAAAGCTGGTTATTTTAGCCAAACAGTCTCATTTTTTAAAGCACACTTCTGAGGATTATTGTGTTGGACTACCGAAAAAAGAATATGTATCAATGAGCAATTCAAATCTTTAAATATAACGTAGAGTTTCTGAATGAAAAACTTACAAACATAAGTGGTTTTAGCATTTCACCAATTCTGCATTCAGAAGCAACATATACATTCGTATATTCTACCATGTTTCTAGCTCCTAATTTTCTTTGTATAATCGTAAGATTCTATTACTACTAGTTTGTTTCCACCTCATCTGCTTTGTGTTTGTTAATTGGACTATTGACTTGCATGTATTGTTTGCAGACTTTTTTTCATGCTACTATTTTCAGTATTGTTTAAAATATCTCTTACCTTGAAATTTATGAATACTCTATTAATAACGCAGTTCTAATCTCTTGTTCAATATAGTATCATATATATCATAGTATCATAGAAGGGCGGCCTGCTTGAGCATCTGGGCTACCTGTTCCTGCCATCTAGATATTTCAACAAGTTATCTATTTTTGTTTGTTTTAATATATCATTATGTCTATTAATCGCATAACCTATTCTGCTGCGTTTCTGAAAAGTGTACAAACTTTCGTTGTCAAAGTTACAAAAAACTCAATAAGAGACAATGTGGTTGCTGGCAATATACAACGAAAAGAATGCACATTATTCAGATGCTCATTTACTGAACTGCTAACATCTAACTGGCGATCACTCAATATTTATCGCCAGGACCGACCAAGAAGAAAGAAACGGAAACTTGTTAAAATACTTTGAGCTGAGAATTCTATATTGTACCAAAAATATAATATTGAATAAAGCTGATAATAATAATAATAATAATAATAATAATAATAATAATAATAATAATAATAATGTTAAATAATTATAGACAAGGTTATTGTATTACATGTGATGAACAGCATATGTTTAAGCGCATTTTGAAAGTCCAATAATCTGTTGTTTACCTTGAGCATAACATGTGTCATATATATTCCTTACTAATATTCAAAAACTACTAAGATTCCATATCTGCTGTTGAATGCTTTAAAATTCGCTCGAAGTTCATTAAACGTAGTTGTTAATAAGTGTGTGTTAGTTGGAGTGTCTATGTGATAAAGGTAGTCTTTCTTTTAGTACAAAAAGTCAGAGCTACTATTTTTCGGATTTTTAATGTTTTAGTGATTCAAACAGAGTGTTCAGGTTGGAAATGAACATTTCAACCAGTAGATACATGGCTTATTAGTTAATCCACTTCAGATTGTGATGCATACTACTACTACTACTACTACTACTACTACTACTACTACTACTACTACTACTACTACTACTACTACTACTACTACTACTACTACTACTACTACTACTACTACTACTACTACTACTACTACTACTACTACTACTACTACTACTACTACTACTACTACTACTACTACTACTACTACTACTACTACTACTACTACTACTACTACTACTACTACTACTACTACTACTACTACTACTACTACTACTACTACTACTACTACTACTACTACTACTACTACTACTACTACTACTACTACTACTACTACTACTACTACTACTACTACTACTACTACTACTACTACTACTACTACTACTACTACTACTACTACTACTACTACTACTACTACTACTACTACTACTACTACTACTACTACTACTACTACTACTACTACTACTACTACTACTACTACTACTACTACTACTACTACTACTACTACTACTACTACTACTACTACTACTACTACTACTACTACTACTACTACTACTACTACTACTACTACTACTACTACTACTACTACTACTACTACTACTACTACTACTACTACTACTACTACTACTACTACTACTACTACTACTACTACTACTACTACTACTACTACTACTACTACTACTACTACTACTACTACTACTACTACTACTACTACTACTACTACTACTACTACTACTACTACTACTACTACTACTACTACTACTACTACTACTACTACTACTACTACTACTACTACTACTACTACTACTACTACTACTACTACTACTACTACTACTACTACTACTACTACTACTACTACTACTACTACTACTACTACTACTACTACTACTACTACTACTACTACTACTACTACTACTACTACTACTACTACTACTACTACTACTACTACTACTACTACTACTACTACTACTACTACTACTACTACTACTACTACTACTACTACTACTACTACTACTACTACTACTACTACTACTACTACTACTACTACTACTACTACTACTACTACTACTACTACTACTACTACTACTACTACTACTACTACTACTACTACTACTACTACTACTACTACTACTACTACTACTACTACTACTACTACTACTACTACTACTACTACTACTACTACTACTACTACTACTACTACTACTACTACTACTACTACTACTACTACTACTACTACTACTACTACTACTACTACTACTACTACTACTACTACTACTACTACTACTACTACTACTACTACTACTACTACTACTACTACTACTACTACTACTACTACTACTACTACTACTACTACTACTACTACTACTACTACTACTACTACTACTACTACTACTACTACTACTACTACTACTACTACTACTACTACTACTACTACTACTACTACTACTACTACTACTACTACTACTACTACTACTACTACTACTACTACTACTACTACTACTACTACTACTACTACTACTACTACTACTACTACTACTACTACTACTACTACTACTACTACTACTACTACTACTACTACTACTACTACTACTACTACTACTACTACTACTACTACTACTACTACTACTACTACTACTACTACTACTACTACTACTACTACTACTACTACTACTACTACTACTACTACTACTACTACTACTACTACTACTACTACTACTACTACTACTACTACTACTACTACTACTACTACTACTACTACTACTACTACTACTACTACTACTACTACTACTACTACTACTACTACTACTACTACTACTACTACTACTACTACTACTACTACTACTACTACTACTACTACTACTACTACTACTACTACTACTACTACTACTACTACTACTACTACTACTACTACTACTACTACTACTACTACTACTACTACTACTACTACTACTACTACTACTACTACTACTACTACTACTACTACTACTACTACTACTACTACTACTACTACTACTACTACTACTACTACTACTACTACTACTACTACTACTACTACTACTACTACTACTACTACTACTACTACTACTACTACTACTACTACTACTACTACTACTACTACTACTACTACTACTACTACTACTACTACTACTACTACTACTACTACTACTACTACTACTACTACTACTACTACTACTACTACTACTACTACTACTACTACTACTACTACTACTACTACTACTACTACTACTACTACTACTACTACTACTACTACTACTACTACTACTACTACTACTACTACTACTACTACTACTACTACTACTACTACTACTACTACTACTACTACTACTACTACTACTACTACTACTACTACTACTACTACTACTACTACTACTACTACTACTACTACTACTACTACTACTACTACTACTACTACTACTACTACTACTACTACTACTACTACTACTACTACTACTACTACTACTACTACTACTACTACTACTACTACTACTACTACTACTACTACTACTACTACTACTACTACTACTACTACTACTACTACTACTACTACTACTACTACTACTACTACTACTACTACTACTACTACTACTACTACTACTACTACTACTACTACTACTACTACTACTACTACTACTACTACTACTACTACTACTACTACTACTACTACTACTACTACTACTACTACTACTACTACTACTACTACTACTACTACTACTACTACTACTACTACTACTACTACTACTACTACTACTACTACTACTACTACTACTACTACTACTACTACTACTACTACTACTACTACTACTACTACTACTACTACTACTACTACTACTACTACTACTACTACTACTACTACTACTACTACTACTACTACTACTACTACTACTACTACTACTACTACTACTACTACTACTACTACTACTACTACTACTACTACTACTACTACTACTACTACTACTACTACTACTACTACTACTACTACTACTACTACTACTACTACTACTACTACTACTACTACTACTACTACTACTACTACTACTACTACTACTACTACTACTACTACTACTACTACTACTACTACTACTACTACTACTACTACTACTACTACTACTACTACTACTACTACTACTACTACTACTACTACTACTACTACTACTACTACTACTACTACTACTACTACTACTACTACTACTACTACTACTACTACTACTACTACTACTACTACTACTACTACTACTACTACTACTACTACTACTACTACTACTACTACTACTACTACTACTACTACTACTACTACTACTACTACTACTACTACTACTACTACTACTACTACTACTACTACTACTACTACTACTACTACTACTACTACTACTACTACTACTACTACTACTACTACTACTACTACTACTACTACTACTACTACTACTACTACTACTACTACTACTACTACTACTACTACTACTACTACTACTACTACTACTACTACTACTACTACTACTACTACTACTACTACTACTACTACTACTACTACTACTACTACTACTACTACTACTACTACTACTACTACTACTACTACTACTACTACTACTACTACTACTACTACTACTACTACTACTACTACTACTACTACTACTACTACTACTACTACTACTACTACTACTACTACTACTACTACTACTACTACTACTACTACTACTACTACTACTACTACTACTACTACTACTACTACTACTACTACTACTACTACTACTACTACTACTACTACTACTACTACTACTACTACTACTACTACTACTACTACTACTACTACTACTACTACTACTACTACTACTACTACTACTACTACTACTACTACTACTACTACTACTACTACTACTACTACTACTACTACTACTACTACTACTACTACTACTACTACTACTACTACTACTACTACTACTACTACTACTACTACTACTACTACTACTACTACTACTACTACTACTACTACTACTACTACTACTACTACTACTACTACTACTACTACTACTACTACTACTACTACTACTACTACTACTACTACTACTACTACTACTACTACTACTACTACTACTACTACTACTACTACTACTACTACTACTACTACTACTACTACTACTACTACTACTACTACTACTACTACTACTACTACTACTACTACTACTACTACTACTACTACTACTACTACTACTACTACTACTACTACTACTACTACTACTACTACTACTACTACTACTACTACTACTACTACTACTACTACTACTACTACTACTACTACTACTACTACTACTACTACTACTACTACTACTACTACTACTACTACTACTACTACTACTACTACTACTACTACTACTACTACTACTACTACTACTACTACTACTACTACTACTACTACTACTACTACTACTACTACTACTACTACTACTACTACTACTACTACTACTACTACTACTACTACTACTACTACTACTACTACTACTACTACTACTACTACTACTACTACTACTACTACTACTACTACTACTACTACTACTACTACTACTACTACTACTACTACTACTACTACTACTACTACTACTACTACTACTACTACTACTACTACTACTACTACTACTACTACTACTACTACTACTACTACTACTACTACTACTACTACTAATACTACTACTACTACTACTACTACTACTACTACTACTACTACTACTACTACTACTACTACTACTACTAGTAGTAATACTGTTATTCTGGGGTTTAATTAATCCTTTACGAGAATTTACATTGTCGATTCGATCAGCACATATCATTCTGCAACTATTTCCATTGCAAATTTATTGTAATTGAATAACTATGCATTGTATTTTCTATTAAATTACGATTCATCACAATCACAAAGCAGATGCCATCTTCCGATATCCGTTTCTGGAGCTCATCTATACATAAAGATTCTGGGATAACAGCAGCACTTCTTGTTTTGTATAGTCAGTTTACATTATTTATCCACTTGGTCTTATCTGACTCGTTCCTACTAAATATCTGGGAAATGTACAAAAGTAGTCAGAGTATTTCAATACTTCAGTTAATATTTATATTTGATGGTGATAAGTAAATTGAATTAAATCTCAGTAAGCTGTTCGTGAAAGCTTCTCTCATAAACGTTGCCACGGAATCTCCCTCACACCGGGCTTTCATCGTTAATCATTTTTATTTACATAATAGTGCTTTGAAATAAAGTTTAAAATTTCTTGATTTAGGAAGACATTGTGAATGGTTTTTGGTTACTGAATTTCCAGGGACTTGTTATTTATAGACTAGCACACAAACATTATAATCTTATATTCAAGCTAACAATTAGTATTTGTTTATGATACACGAATTGATTTTATTATTACAGTTGTATTGTATATATTTAAAATTTATTTAGCAATCAACATTACCTAGTTATATCTATAATAACCAGTGTTGTTGTGAAGCGATTTCCACTATAAAAAACCAATCTTTTGAAAATGAAGTTGGTAGTTGCAGAAGATTTATCCTGTTTAATTTTATTTTATTCCATCAATAATGACAATAAACTAACAATAACTTGAACAGTTGTAATTGTTGGAAATTTGTTGTTTTGATAGTTTAGAGTTGTTGCTACTACGTTCATTTTATTTATAAGAAAAAAAACTGTGTTCTGTGGGACAGTGGCTTAATGGTTGACATGGTTTGTAACCAACAGGTCATAGATCGAAGTATCGTTTCACTTCAGTCTAGGCAGTCGAGTAGTGTCACTTGTTATATATAATCAAAGAACCTGTCAAAGAATGGTATGGGCAGATTTTGATAATATATTATTATTCTCTAAACGTGGTGGTTTAGTTGGGAAGATTTAATTTTCGTTTTAAATGACATCACCAAAGCCTACTTTAAATAGAAGTATGGACTGTAGAGAATAAAAGTGTATTTAGTACCCTAACTATAGTTCGGAAATTACGAGTCTCAAATTGATTTTTTCAATTACAAAACAATGCATGATCAATCCATTGTAGAATAAGAAAAGAAACATAATAATATATGCAAGTTGTAAATTTTATTTTAAACATCTTCAAAAGCCAGATTTCATTTAAATTGGCTGACTCTATAGAAAACTACGATGTGAAGTTACTGTGTATAGAAAAATGTTCTGTTCGTTAGTTTATATCGTAAGAGACAACAACAACAGTAATAAGATCCTAATAGGTTACTTACATTTTATGTTAGAAATTATTTCCAAGTAATGTAGTTGCATCTTTACATATGTCTATAAACACGTATGTCTATCTAATTTATCGGTTGCTGTTGTCGTTTTGTTTAAAAGAAGTGATTTGATATAATTCCAATATCATCGAATATGTGTTGTGCTTTGCAATGATTCAACTGTAATTTATCAAAACATGTCTGCATGAGAATATTGATCTAAATATTGACATTGTAAAATGTATATTTATATCAGCTTACAATATTTATATATAAATGACATGCCGTCAATAATAAAATCGCGAGATCACCAGTTCTGTATTTCATTTTTTTTGTTTCGAAAAAAAAAATTCTAATTGTTGCGTAGGTTGGCAAGAGAAGAAATCCACAAAAGAATGAGACTCAAAAAGTGTAATTAAAGTAAACATTATTAATCCATCTATAATATCAATTTTACATCATTATGTATTTATTAAAAATCCTATTTACAAATGAATATACAACGAAATTTCTTTATCGATTTATGTCTGTGTATTAAGTTTCCATAAACATATTTTACCTAGTGAATTGAAAAAAACAAATCACTGTACAAATTATGATTTGTTTTTTCTTTTCTTTCCAAATGCAAACATGAAATGTTTATATGTTATATTTTATATTGATCGAATAGTATCATTATGTAAATGATATGTTTCATGTACAAAATGGAACAATAATGATTAAAGCTTAAATTCTATGAGTTCATAGATTTGTTTTAATGAATGATATTATTAAGTGATTGAAATCTATACATCATTTTCAATGACATATACATCTGAAAGACTTGCACAAAACAAGAACGTACAGATTTATGGAATAAAATGAATTTGTTATTTAGATGTAAAACATAAAATTACAATGACATATATATATACGAGCGGACAATAAATGTGTTAAAAAAATTCAGTTCCAAAGAAACTAGTAAATTAATGAATTAAATCTATATAGAAAGTTAAGTTTTGTAAATCATTATAAAGATAGATAATTGTTTATTTACAATGTGATAATAAATTGTAGAATTCTAAGTTACAAGATAATGTATTAAACAATTAGAAAATTCCATATATATATATATATAAGAAACGATTGGGAAAGCTTAAGGTTAGAATACTTCACTGGCTTCCTTAAATTATGGTGTATGTTTCAATCTACCCGTTACGATAGTTAGTCAGAGGTACAACTTTATCTTAGACGAATACTTATAGGTTTGAGTTGTCATATACTATATAAAGCAAGGAAATTAACAGACTTAAAATTGAAAATTAAGTAAAATTTTAACATGTACAGAGAGATAATGAAATATAAAACAAATTGACTGAATAAAATTCAGTCAAGAACATCAAATCATTACAAACTGAATTAAAGTACATGTCCGTTTGTACAAGCTAGTGGCTATCTCGACTTAATAGCGTAGTGAATAACACGATAGGCATTTAATGTAATGGGTTCGAATCTAAGTGTGGATATCAGCATCATGGTGAAGGTGACGAGTTCCAAATAGCACAGAATACACCTCCTAGATTCCACTAATAAACAGAATTTATCTTCTGTATGAGAGGAACGACCCAAAAAAATTAATCAAAAGTATGAGTAATCCAAAACTTAGAAGATAAAGAGTGAATTTATATAACTGACCCACTGTAAACTATTTTAACTCATGTTACCTAGGATCACCAATCTGGTCAAACATTTCACTTTTTAATTTGGGATTCATATAAACAAGTTTATATGTAACTGTCGAATATCTAGGATTTTCAGTATGTTTACTAAATAAAGGTTTCCTTTCAGCTTGGTTGATCTCAGTGTACAATAGTATATAGTCACAAATTAAATATTAGGCGGAGATATTCCAAAGTTTACCCCTAATGCAGTGTACATATTAATGGAAATAAGGTAGTAGGACTGAAAATTTTTGTTTCTCAAGAAAAAAAGATCTACAAATGGCATTTTAGACACTATTAATATAACTTATCAGATAAATATCTCTCAATCTTTCATAATACTTAAAAGAATACATAGTAACTAAATACTTCTAATCTTATCTTGGTAAAATAAGTAGGCTAAATAATCTCCCATTACTTCGATAATCATGTATTGATTCAACTTAATAAAATTGATTTTTTATACTTTTAAATACCTTCAATTGAATTAGTTGAAATTTATTCACCTTAACTTTTTAACAATTCTTCTATGGATTTAGTTCATTAACCATTCACTTCTCTTACATACATACAAACTTGCATCTTTTTCTGTTTCACATTTTTATAATTTACTTTCTCATCATAAATAAAACTATTCTGTGTATAATTTTTTGAATAACAATTTGTAAGATTTCATTTTCTATATTGATTCGACTCATTGTTTTACTAATGTCAGTGGAATTGAATATCATCTTCAATACAGTTAAATTCATTTTCTTTTTAGCTTGATTTATTTACAACTGAAAATAAGTTATGAAATACTAGTGAATTCATTTTCTTTTATCCTATAAATTTTTCTATTCTTGTTTTGTCCAATTTTACTAAGGAGACTAAATGAATGAAATAGTTGTATGTGTGAACCAAAAATTTGCTTTAAAACTTTAACAATTTTATGTTTGTATTATAATACAATCGACAAAAAGTCAGTGAACAACCAATGTGTAAGTAATTAAGTTTGAAATATTAGAACATTCCTGTTTACAAATTACATCCTTTATCAAAACAATTTACTTGGTTAGGACTAGTGTCTATGTAACCGACAAACTAATGCAGTTTGAAAGTAATGAAAATCATTATTTGGATACTACGTCCAGAGGCCTGTTTCCATTTATTCTTGACACGAATCATATTTGACACTGAAAAAACTGATTAAAAATAATTTATCTTTAGGATTTTTAAGATAGTAAATATTAATTTGTCTATTCCTAAATTTTGTATGTGAAAATGTTGAACAATTGAGTTCTGTTGAATAATCATAGGTTTTGTGCATATTAGTATTAGCAACAACGTACTGTGGGAGAGAACAAAGCAGATTCCAGCGGGGGAAGAAATCTGGAAGAAGGGCTGGAAGTGGATAGGACACACATTGAGGAAAGCACCCAACTGCGTCACAAGACAAGCCCTCACATGGAATCCTCAAGGCCAAAGGAGAAGAGGAATACCAAAGAACACATTACGCCGGGAAATGGAGATAGACGTGAGAAAAATGAACAAGAATTGGATGGAACTAGAAAAGAAGGCGGAGGACAGAGTGGGTTGGAGAATGCTGGTCGGCGGCCTATGCTTCATTGGGAGTAACAGGCGTAAGTAAATTAGTAAGCTACGAGAACCATGTCTGAACGTTTAGCTTTCTGTAAAAGTCATTTTTCAGTTCAACTGGGTTTCAGTCAGGTTGGAATATATGCAGAAACGACGAAAAGCAACGATGTGTGTCTCTATTCTTTTGAGATTTTACGGAGCCGTTTAGCCTAACAGCACATAGACGACTGTTAACGGGGATCCACTCTAATAGTGCTTGCTCTGCCCTCGTACTTAGTACTATGCTTACACTCTCAAGTCTAACAGAACTAGTCATCGGGTCGCCAGATACACGTAGGGTGTATCTCGTTGGCTCTCCGTTTTGACGAGATGAGGTCAAGTGAATGACCACACTAGGATCCTGTGTGCGTGTTCCGGAGACACAACATGCATCAATGGTACGTGATCCTAGGGTTTTAGCCAAGGAGGCCTGCTGACCGATTTGACATAATGTGCATACGTTGAAGGCTCCAATGTGTAGTTTGGAGCGAGGTTTCAGTAGACTTGGGACAGTGTTTTGCGCACTAGAATCCTTGGCTATGGTGACACTCGAGAAGAAAGCCAAAAGAGGAAGTTTAGAGTTCAAAGTCGAGATACGAGGAATAATGGGAATCGAAGAGGGAAATTGATAATGGATACTGTAGTCTTGAGTGCTGATAGAGTTATGAGGGCGGTTATCACTTCCCAGTTGCACACACTGTGGAAGGGTTCTTCTGAAGGTACCTGAAAAGGAAAGTGGATTAGAGGTGGTCTTAGTGACCTAAGAGTGTGACCGCAGTTCCCAAGAAACAACTGCTTGAGGCCGGTCACACACGACCTCTTGTGAGTAATTTTCGAATCAACCTTATACTTGTTGGAACTTCGCCGCCGGAGACGGATATCCGTGGGATAAGGCGAGGTGTGCATTTTTAGGGTCGACGTTTTGTAACCCTACCCCTCCTTGTGGGAAGGCAGCGTCGCTGTTATGCCGGTTTTCTGAAGGAAACACCTTACTGCCGTCATACTTCTGTACAGTTACCGGTACGACTTCACCCTCAAACCTTGGGTTTGCGCTTTCAGTCTTTCTGCTGTTCAACCGACCTGTCTGGCATGGTAGGACCTTGAGGAGTGATTGTTCCAGCCAGTATAGCCCGATGTATATATATATATATGTACACGATAATAATAATAATAATAATAATAATAATAATAATAATAATACAAAGAACATAGATAAATTGTTACTTTCCGAATAATATTATCTGTTAAATAAATTAATTGAAGGGCTTTACACCATTAAACGTAAACAAGCTTAAATGTAGGAGAGATGCTTTAAATGCAGAAGAATATCTCTCTTTCTTAATCCTATAATTCACATACAGAATATTTGTTTTTGAACCGTTATTATCAAGACTACAACTTAATTAAATGTTAGGTGACAAACAATGCGTGGAACTCATAATTATGGATTGGTTTATTCATCGATTCATGTAATGAATAATCTTTGTTGTTGACTTTATCACATTGTTTTATGAGATACACGTGCACATACACACAATCTTCAAAACATAACAACATTCAATAGAGTGGTGGTGAGTGGATATATGTTTTGTATCCATTTTACATAATCGCTTGTTTAATTCAACTTCCGAACAAAAACTTACTTTGACGATCAACATGACATATGAAAAGGAATTTTTTAAAATACACTTCGAGAAAGTCATTTATTGGTCTGTTTTAATAAAATGAAAGTTTTCAGTCATTCAAATTATGTGATTGGAAACTGTGTACTAGTTGGCTAAGTGGTTTGTTTGTTTCTTATTCTCGGTACCCAAGGATTGATTTAGCTTAAATTGTCCTAATCATTTTAATTCTGATTGGCTTGTAGTGACCTACTTTTGTCTAGAGAACGCGACTGGTTTAATGGGAAAAATTATTATGATAACCAATTGTACCAGTGATTGTTTTACTTGTTTGTTTGACTATACTAAAGACATTCTTCCTTCCGTTGATTGTGACTTTGCACGCGCTTACGTTTGCTCAGTGATTCCGCTTGTACTCTTTTGGGACGATCTCGGTATTCCTTTGATACCACGAGATCACCAACAAATATATCTCGCTCCAACCTCCAATCGCCTTCTGATACCTGTTACGCAACCTTCTTGTAGTGGTGATTATTGTCAACCGCGAGTCGATGCCACACTACATGCTGATTAATGAGAAAGTAGTGAAATAATGCCCTGGTACCACCAAGGATGGGTAGAGTCCATTCTCCCTCTCCAAATGATCTCACATGGCCACGCATATACAGCCACTACCAGGGAAGTCCTACTCACTGTCTTCTCGTGGTAGGGGTGTTGTTTACGAAATTGAGAGGACGAAAAGCGAATGTCCGGTGCATTAACAGAGTTGGTGGATATGGAGGATCCACCTAGGGGAGTTGGAAAACCCTGACTCAAAACCACTGGTGCACACGGGCTCCAGGATCCTGAAGGAACAAAAGGTGTGTGACCTAGTTGTTGGTCACCGGCTACCATGGGACTGGATCATCCAAGGTTGCTTCGCTGCCTTATGGATCAGACCTTAAGGTCGAAGGCCCCGGGTTTGGCTCCTCAAGAAAACATCTGCTTCGGTCCGGGCACCCGGTCAGTATTCCAGCCCTCGCGTAAATCAATAATAACTGCCACTGGCCTCATTGGTATTGTGTGGCCCATATGTAATTGGTGCCCCCTTGTTTATGTCTTCAGATAAATAAATATAGTGAGATAATTGGGTTAAAGCTACATCAATACTGTAAATTAATAATAAAATAATGTGATTTATAGAAACGATGATCTTACCGTTTGAACAAGTGATAATTTCTCACTATTTTTCCTATTATCTTTGTTTTTCTGCCATCTTTTAATTTTTCTGGTTGACCTTGATTTTTCCATGAATAAACGACCTAACAAATAAATGTGTAGTCAGATTGTTTGATATGTATTAAGCTAACATATCGAATAGTTCTGATAACCTTCGTCTCCCCGTCGTATTATCTAAATTTATCAAAGGGGAAAAATTTTAATCAATACTTATAGGCACTTCATCTTACGCAGTTTACAAAGTGATATTTTTTACTTTGAATAAAAGCAATACAACTTTTCCCTTTTATCTGTCCTGTTCGGCTTTGAGGTACACATTTTATTTTAAGATTATTGATATTCTCTAGTTGATTGAAGCTAACTGTATGAAAATGCAAACCAACAATCGAATGGTTCAACTACTGTTTTTATAACTTACACAATCGCTTAATATCACGTAGATAAAATGATATTATGGTTTGGAACATTTTTCTTTTTAAAAACAAAATTACAGGGAAGTTTTATCTTCCATCATAACTAACCATACATAATTTAGACCCTGAATGGTCTGAATATTTGCTCTAAAGACAATTAGTTTCATCACACAAAATATTTCTCCAAACTGTTTTTTTTCGAAAACTAACAACTGGACCTTTTTGGAAAACTGCAATTTTTTTACACATGAACAATTTATAAAAGAAGACAAGATTGATCTATCCGTACATTATATATATATATATATATATATATATATATATATATATATATATATATATATATATATATATATATATATATATATATGTATATATATATTAAGAAAATGGGTACATTAATCACATGTTTACAAATTACTTGTTAAACAAAAGATAACTAATTTTGAAATACTTGACACAATGCACTAACTCATTGTTTATCACAGTAAAATATTTTCATAAGAAAATGATAAAATTTTCAAGTAATTATGTAAAAGTTGAGAAGTATTGGAAATAAAAAAGAATATCACTAAGATTCTTTTTTACTAAAAATCTCACAACGTTTTGAAATGAATGTATTTCCTAATGTTTGTGTTATATGATTGCAAGTTGAATACTCATGATTGTTAGTATTATGATAGGTATGTAGCAGACAACGTGTAGATTTACGACGAACATGATCCAATTGCCTTTTACCGTAATTTTGATTGTAATTACCAGTTGCATTACTGCTACAACTACTGTTACCATTGGTATGGATACTACTGCCGCTGCTTCTGCTCCCGTTATTATTATTGTTATTGCGATTAAATTTATCGTCGTAATAATCTTTAAAGGGTATTTCATATACGTTCGGTACAACTGATCGTACATCATGTTCAAAAAATGAAAATAATGGGAACCACATTCTTAAACGTTCATTATCTGGTTGATGTAATAAATTATTATTAGCAAGGCAATGATAGTATAGAAATAATCTTGATGAAATATATATAGCAATGAATACATCAATAGAATAATGTTCATGACAAGCAAGTATGAAAAATACACCGAAAAGATTCAGAACCCATGTAAATGTATGCAAAAGATAAAATCTTCGTGGTGAATATTCACTAATGAAAAAGTTAAGAAGAGTAAGACATGTTGTATGACCACTAAACAGATAATCACCACAAGTTCGTAATCCCGTAATGTATAAACCACAACCTATCCATATTTCTAATGCACGTTTGAAGCGTTCTGTATAATTTTTTATTATATATGGGCTACATTGATTTGTTAAATGCACTCCAGGGACACTTAGTGAAGTTATCGACATAGTAATTGATCTTAATAAAAATATCGTGCCCATAAGCACAAAAAAACGACGTAAAAGTATCCACCGATATTTATGTAGAAATAAAATAGTCAGCCAAATCATAAACAGTACAATGATAACCACTTCTGCTGCAATAAACCCCCAACTGATATGAGGAAGATTATCTAGAAAAATATCTGGTAACGGAGGATATTTCGATGTAACAGGCAAACGTTCATGGACCGAAACTATAACAAATGCTGTAACAAATGTAGCAAAAATGAAATACAAACAACTGGTTATAAATTTCCAGAAATTTGTATTGTCTTCATCTATTCCGTAATCGTAATCATTTAAAATAGTACTGTCTGCTATACACTCCACATTATCATTTCCATTTAATCTGGATACATCTTGTTCCATATTATCCAATTTAGGATTATGGCAGCATAGCAGATCAACTACAGAATTCTCACTTGGTAATCTTGGAAAAGTATATTCTCCATAATTATGATTTTCAATTTGGTGACGCCAGAAGCAACATAAATACATGATACGTTTTCTAACACCAACCTCTTTGATGTCCATTTCACATAAGTCTTTCTCAGTTAACAGACAAAATGACAATCCATCGATTGTGTTCTTAGTGAAAATGTCAATGATTGAATCGGAAATGCCATGATTTTTCAGAAATTTAGCTACATCAAGAGAGTTGGCCTGGATCGATATTATGTCTTCATTTTGATAGTCAAACATCCTTATAAGTCAAAAACAAAACAAAAAACAAACGCTTAGAAATATCACTTAATTCATTTTTTGATTAAATTATTACACATAAACCATTAAATTAATAAACGGATTATAAGTATAAATTTTTATTCGTAATCAGTGTTATGTAGCTGAACCTAGGTTCCAAAAAATCTCTATAAATGATTTCGTTAAGTCACTAGGATTAGATGAACAGATAATCCATCAGAAGATAACTTGAGTTATAGGATAACCATAAGGAAAGAAGAAAAAACTACAATGGAAGAGAACTGGAAAGAGATCAAAGAAGCACCAACTTCTACGGGTTAAGAAATTCTGGGCCTCAAGAAGCATCACCATAAGTAATGGATCTGCATCGGTTGCTATCATCTCTACATCTACCAATATGACTCAGTCTACTTGTCAGTGACTTCATGGACTTGTGCCACGTTTTGGTCTGGGAAATGAAGCAAACCACGGAGACCGTTCAAAGACAAAGAAGGCAAGCCAATCACTGAAATTCAAGGACAGAGAAACAGATGGATGGGACACTTCGAGGAACTCTTGAATAGACCAGCTTCATTGAATCCACCGGATATCGAAGCTGCACCTACATATCTTTCTATCGATGTCACTCCACCAACGGTCGAAATTAATCAAGATGACCATCAGACAAATCAAGAGTGGGAGAGCAGTAGGACCTGACAATATACCAGTCAGAGCACTAGAGTCAGATATACAAGTGACAGCAGACATGCTCCACGTTCTATTCAGGAAGGTTTAGGAGGAAGAACAAGTGCCGATGAACCGGAAAGAAGGATATCTTATCAAGATACCAAAGAAGGGGGATCTGAGCAAATGTGAGAACTACAAAGGCATCATACTACTACGAATGCCAGTAGAAGTCTTTAACAGTGTTGCTGAACCGGATGAAAAACGCAGCAGACGCACAACTTCGAGATCAACAAGCTGGGTTCCGAAAGGATCGGTTGTGCACAGACCGGATTGCGACATTACGGATCATCGTTGAACAATAAGTTAAGTGGAACTCTTCATTGTACATCAACTTCATTGATTATGAAAAGGCATTTGACAGTGTAGATAGGAGGACCTTGTGGAAACTTCTTCGACACCACAACGGATTACACTGAAAATTCGTGCATGGAGGACAGCCGACAGACGCATTCCAAGCAAGGACCGGAGTCAGACAAGGCTGCCTACTCTCCTACTTTCTCTTTCTTCCGGTGGTTGACTGGATTATGAAGACTTTGATGTCTGAGTGGAAGCATGAAATAAAATGGACATGTTGGACGCAATTGGACGATCTGGACTTTGGAAATGACCTAGCTCTTCAATCTCATACACACGGGCAAATTCAGGTCAAGACAAACAATGTAGCAGCAGCTACTGTATCAGTAGGCCTCAACATACACAAAGGAAAAAGCAATATTGTCAAATACAACACGGAGAACAGCAATCCAATCACTCTTGATGGAGAAGCTCTGGAAGAGGTGGAATCTTCCACGTACCTGGAAAGCATCATTGATGAACAAGGAAGATCTGATGCAGACGTAAAGGCAAGGGATGGCAAAGCAAGAGCTGCATCCATACAATTGATAAACATATGGAACTTAAAACAACTGTCAACTAATACCAAAGTCAGAATCTCCAGTACGAACGTCAAGACAGTCCCACTGTACTGAGCTGAAACGTGGATAACTACTGCAACCATAATAAAAAAGGTACAAGTATTTATCAACGATTATCTACGCAAGATACTCAATATCCATTGACCGGATACCATCAGCAACAGCCTACTGTGGGAGAGAACAGACTAGCTTCCAGCTGAAGAAGAAGTTAGGAAGAGACGTTGAAAGTGGATAGGATATAAATTGAGGAAATCACCAAACTGTACCACGAGGCAAGCCCTAACTTGGAATCCCGAATGGAAACGGAAAGGAGGAAGGCTGAAGAACATACTACGTCGGGACTTGGAAACAGACATGAAAAAGATGACTAGGAACTGGAAACTATTGCCCAGGACCGGGTTGCATGAAGAATGTAGTGTCGGCTACCACGTTAAGCTCAGATACCTTGTTCTAGCATCTGGACCGCTCGAGATTTTAAAATAATAACACTGGGGAAATATCTGATTAGAATATATCGTGTCAATAATTTGCTTACTTGCCCCAGAGTGGCAGCAGACGACACACAATTCTGCCGATTTATGCTTGATTTAAAAGTAGGATATTCAGAAAGGGCACAAGATATTATATAGCTAACGGATTTTTGGAACACGGCGACAAAATCTATTCTGTGTTAGTCCGAAAATATACTAAGTATTTACACTACGACTGGTTTAAAAACATCGAAAAAAGCAGCTCAACGTAGTTACTGGCCAATCTCTTTAAGTTCTGTAGTGAGAACGCTGTTAACTTGTGGATATTTTCGTTCAGGTTTTAAAAAACGTTAAAGAAATATGTTGAAGACTCCTGTAGATTTCACATCCAAACAATGGTCAGCAAAACCCATATTGAAGCTCATGAATTGGCGGGTGAACATTTACTTTCTGTGTAGTGCAGAAGTTTTCAAACTTTAGAGAGTTAGACTTTTTGTTACCACATTCATTAAGATACTTTTTTGCACAAATCAATAGTTACAACAGAGTTCATAGTGAGTTTATTGTTACGTGACCAATTCGTCAGCAGAATACAATAATCTGGACTGTTTTTAATAGACAAGTATTAGTACTTTTATGTGTATGAAAGAAGATATCTGCAATCAGAGAAGCTTCCCGCTTATCTATTTCATCTGTTTTGGGTATCAATGTTTGCATACTTTATTATTATTATAGGCCAACACCAATAATACACTCCTGACCATATAACCATGAACAATCAAATTAGCCAATTAGGCGTTTATCTGGGGTGTAGGAGTAAAAAAGTGTATTTTCAAAACCATTGGCAATTCATCTGTCTTCGCAAGAAACTAAACGATTATCTCAGTCATTTAGATCTTATATTAAGATGATTGTTATTTATTATTTCCAAGGCCATTAATGATTTCTTGAAAACGTGTCTACGAAGTGAAGTAATAAGGCGAAATGGCATATCTCAATGAATTTGGAAAGATGCAAATTTCGTTCATAGTAATTTTTATTTCATTTTATTTGAACACATAAGTATTGGTACAAGAGGGCACCAAATATATATGCGCCACACAAAACAATGAGAATGGGAAGAGAAAAAAGAAGGTAAGGAGCGTTAAATAAAAAAAAGAACAATAACGACCAGATTAGTGTAATGTAATGTAATAATAATAATAAAAATAGTAATGGGGGAGACGGAGAGGTGCAGGCAGAAGAAATCTTTCAGTTTAGTAAGATACAACCACTTTATATGAAGAAAGCAAGAGAAGGTTACAGCACGATCGCCACAGGCTTCTGTTCTGAGCCATATCTGATAACGTCTCTAGCCACTGTGTTACACCATCTTTCGGACCCCAACCAGGGAGTCGTTAAGGACCAACAGAAGCCAGCCGTTTGCAGCTTTCTTTCATACCCCAACACTATGTCATACACTGACCACCCCTACGCCTTTTCCAACCAGTCCCAGCGTCCGCAAATAATGCACAATGAGGGATTTTCTGGGACGACATTCGTAAAACATATCCAAGCCGCCGAAGTCGATGTTTCAAGATGGTGACACAAGTTGAGTTATCGTCTCTGTGCCCAAACATACGATGCCGAACCCCTGCATTACTAACAGTTTGTTGCCACTGTATGTCAGCAATCCTTCGGAGACAGCGATGATCAAACACGGAGAGCCGTCTAACATACTCAACTCGGGCAGGTCAGGTCTCACAAGCGTAGAGCAGAACTGCTCTCACCGACGCGTTGTAGATGCGATCTTTTACAGCCAGACTAACATCCCGAAGGCGCCAAAATGGTCCAGATTGGCATAAGCCGCTCGCTTTCATTGATCTTATCATTCACACCACCACCAGCATTTATGCAACTACCTAGATACACGAACTTCTTGAATACTTCTACCCGCTCACCATTCAAGGTGAGTACAGGATTAGAATCCTGCCAGTCTTGTAGAAGTACGTTGCACTTCGAAAATGTAAAGCACATCCCGTACCTACGGACATTATCTATCATAGTAATGGAATTATATGATAATTTTAATTTGCTGTATTTACCGATAAGCGTAGAAAGACCATATGTATCTATTAACTCTACATTTTTATATTCCCATTGCTTCCTTTACATCTCTCTATTAAGTAAGTTATCATCTACATACTTATATTATTGTACACCCGATTCTTTATAACAAGAACCTAGTTATGATCTAGACGCAAACCGATGAACGGTAAAAATTGCGATGTTTCACTCTCCTCGCACAAGTTGAATTTACATATCGACAACCCCGACTTAGATGATAATAATAATTCGTTTTCTGAAAATCAGTACTGATATCAAATTACGGAGTAAACGACCGTAGGAAGATGGAAACGGACTTGACAAACGTATTAATAGTGTTCAAATTTTATAATTGAAAAATCGTTACATATTAATGAAAGGTTTATAGAATACATATAACTTTATCCAAAATGACAATTACAAACTATAAAAATATAAAAAACCCTATCAACTTCGTTACAATTGAACAAATTACTGGCAAAATATTATGAGTCATCGTTCGGCGCGACAAAGTAGGACATTAAGAAAGTCACAGTGGTTTTGTTCTCGATATTTTTTTCAATTTTTAGACAAATTTATAGAGGCATACATGATTTACCTTCTCTACACGACCTTTTGAGTCTTCAATACTATACCGTGAGTTGTCTAGTGAATACACTAGTGAATCGATAAGTTAAACAATCTAGATTCTTTCGAAGCTTGTCATTAGTATTTCGCTTATCCCATCCAGTCAACGACTGAAACTCTTTATTAAAACACCTAGTATAGAGTTGTAAGTGAAATCTTTCAAGAAAAAAACTAAGTCTTTACAGGAACGGTCACATTAGAAATAAACACAGTATAGCTAACGTGTAATATTTATTACAGAAGACTAAATTATACGGGTTCGCCAACTTGTTGAGCATAATCTCCAACCTACGTTACTAGTTTTAACTTCCAAGTCCTTAGAAATAAATATTGAGAATAAGAGGGAAACAGATAAAATGCTCTACTTTCTGTGTACAAAACAGAAATCTGCGTCAAACACTTATGCAGCTGAAACAAGGAATCCCAAAGACGTGTTGGGGCGTTGTATATACAACCGTGCAGAAAACATACAGGTTGAGCACCACAACTTTAGTAACTTCATGTCGAAATTATTTGCTGTGTTTGGTTAGTCAGAAAGTGATGAGCATCAGAAAATGACTGATTAATTTAAGTAGAAACACACAAATTCAGGTCAATCTACCAATAGAGAAAATAATTCACTAGACAAAAATTTATTTTGTGACTTATGTTGTTGAGATTATTAAAGTTACCGAGTTTTAAAGGTTTGAACGTGTGTGCAAGAACATTGACTAAACTATATAGTTTCACCAATATTAATCAAAATCTTCTGCTTGATACTATGCAGATGAAGACTTTTAGTCAATAAAAATAAGTAGTTTTTAGATTTTTGCAATTTTTGACCATTGTATTTAGACTGTGTTGTACTTTTAATAAAAATACAAGGTTGTTTATTATAAACGGATATGGCCTTTTCAAGCCATATAATTAACTATTTTAAGGGAGTTACCGAACACTACGAAAATTCATCCACAGAATAAAATCATAACACCAGTTATCAACACTCACGAGAACAAATTGACTGTAGAGTCTGATATTCAAAAACTGACAATTTTTTTGGCACCATTTCAATATTCACGATTCAACAACTGCATTAACTGTAACTGATTAGGAAGTTACTTAGTTTCTTCCAGAAGCTCCTGGTTGAACGAAGTCAAACTAAAGGTTAACTTTGTCTGTTGAATTTTTATGCATTATTTTCGATCTCTAAAATGAACAGAAATCGAAAAAGCGTAAAATGTTGTAAATGACCATCTCTGTTTGATTATCTTTTAACGGTGCTGTTGAGGGAAATGCAGAAGATGATGTAAAGAGAAAGTGAGGCGATCAATAATGAAGAAATAATAGAAAAGAGACTATTTTTAAACTATTGGGTCGGCAATGTTTGAATGCTGAGAGAATACAGGTAAATCATAGTTTAAATGACTACGTATAATCCTAAACTTATTTCTGTTTTAGATTTAATTGTGTGAATGGTTCGTATTGCTTAGTTGATAATGAAGTGTAGGGATGTCACAAGTATTCGATGTTTGACAACACCTTAACTAGTAACACTTTTATAATCGAAATGTGCCAACCCTGTGAAATCAGAAGTCACGAGCAAACAGGCTGGGAGATATATTTGATAGAATATCGATTTATCGAGAAGTGAATAGCCTAAGCTGGTCAGCGGCTGTAGGAGAAGTTAAGCACGGCGTACCCGTTTGTTATCTGGTGCGGATGCATGGTCGAGCGCCCTCAGCTAATAAGATCAGCATAAAATGCCGAAGATTTATAGAACTATTTGTCTCGCAAATTTATTTATCGCTCGCTACCCTCCTAGCGGAACAGTGACGAATTTGAGGCGTAGCCAGTCAGAAGTTTAAACCTGACGACTTTGTCGTTGGTAAACAATGTTCTGATAGCCTGCTATGTTCAGTAGCATCTGATCGTCTTTACATAGTATAAAAGGCTATGTGGCTCAACATAGCAACGAAAAAAACGTGTGATGAAAGTTTCTATTCGTCGCATTCTTTGTCAGTTTTCCATCTTCTCCAACCGTCCTAAAAAAGGAACAAAAGAAATTGTAAGTGCATGTCGGAACACACGCAAGTGGAAGGGCGTCAGTCCTCTGTGCGAGTGAGGGTCTCGACTGTCATTGAAGGCGTTCTACCAACCTGTTTGCTTGTGAGTGATAGGTGGTCGCTCGGAATCATGTGATTCTAAATAATGTAGTCAGACAGTAGAAAAGTCCGTATGTGGACAGGCGTCCACGGTCTGTAATGATAGTAGAAGGGCAACCAAAATTTGCTAACCACCGTTCGACAAACGCACGAAGTAGCAGTAACGTCCTTGATGCGTACTGCTTCTGGTCATCATGTGAAATGGCATACACACGTTAAGAGACACGAGTATCCGCTTGAATCTGGCAAGGGTCCTACCAAATCTAGCTAAAATGGCCAAAGTGAGCGTCGGGGATTCTGAACTGACCTAAGGGACATTTGTTGTGTATAATTACTTTAGATTTCTGGCACGGATACCTGAATGAGAAAGTTTGCGCAACGTATTGAAGACATTGTGTCGGTTATGTTTCGGCACGATTGGACGATCCCTATCTGTAGATGTGTCTCTTAGTAAGGTCTCCTTACCTGTTCCCATCTGTTTAATAATCAGTTTAAGAGTTGTTGAAGATAACTCGTGCTAAAGATCAGTTTCTTCTTTTAGAAGCTGGGCAAGTTTAAGAAGGTTGATGCCTTGGAAACTGTTCAGGGAAGTTATGCGAAACAAGGTGTCCGAAACTTTATTGTTTGCTCCAGAAATATGTTGAATGTCTGAAGTAAACTGCGAAATGTAGTCCAGTTGTCGAGACTCACGATGAAGATGAGCTTAACGAGAAGTTAAGATTTTTATGGTCAATGAAAAGAGTGGATTTTCGGCCTTTAAAGTGCCGTACAGCACAATACATAGCTAGGAGTTCCTTACCGAATGTGCTGTACCTCGATTCAGCGTCTAGCAACCGTCTAGAGA